CTTTGGGGGTTATTTCTGGGATCTCTATTCTATTCCATTGGTCCACATATCTGTTTTTATGCCAATACCATGCTGTTTTGATAATCCACAGCTTTATAGTATATCTTGGGATCATGGAGTGATATGCCTCGACTCCATTCTTCTTGCGCAGGATTGCTTTTGCAATACGAGGTCTTTTATGATTCCAGACAAACCTCCCCTTTTCTTATGAAGAGTAACTTACACATCCTAGTTGGAGCTTACATTCCATCAGGGGAGACAGACAAATACAAGATAAAATGATGATATGCTGACAGGTAGTGAGAATTCACTGTAATTTTTCATATTCTTGCTTCATAGGTAACTTTGAGGTTCTGATTCACTCAGTCTAGGCAGAATCTGGACATTTGTGATTTTAGTAAATTCCCAAGTGAATGCTAACTACACTAATTTTGAGAACCAATTTTGAAATATATGTTTTCTTATTTTTATCCCCAGGGGGGATGGTCACACTGCAATCCCTTCTCCTCCATTCTCCTCTCGGGATCTTGAGCACGCACACACACACGCCCAGCTTGAGTTCTAAGCCACCGGGTCCGGGACGCGAACCGCGGTCGACTACGTGGGAGTCCAGTGACATAGCCATTACTGCTGGTTCCCCATATTCTGCTTTTTTTTTAATTGCCAGAGGGCACATGTGCTCACCAGAGAGAGAATCCGTAAGAGGGTTAGTCATGCCGTAAGCTTTTCTCCTCCATTTCTCCATCCCTTCAGTACCTTGGGCACATACACGCTTGCACTCAGCATGTTTTTCAAGCTGCCGGGGGCAGAATTTGAACTGTGGTTTGCTATGTGGAATCTGGCCACTGCTTCACCACTGCAATATGGGGCTAGCCCTATATTCTGCTATTTTTTAAAGTTTTTGCTATATAATGTATGCACTTGCCAGAGAGAGACAGAGACCTGGAAGAGGGGTGTGAAATCTCCCCCCAAGGGAGGATGGTCACATAGCAATCCCTTCTCCATTTTCCTCTTGGAGTTTTGGACACTCTCACACACATGCCCTGTGTGATTTTTCAAGCTGCCGGGTCTGGGACTGGGACCATGGAGTCAGCTCTGTGGGATCCTTAACTTTAACCTCCATGCCACATGCTAGCCCTATTCTCTCTCTCTCTCTCTCTCCTCTCTCTCTCTCTCTCTTTAGAGAGATTTAGAGAGAGAGAGATTTTTGTTTGAGGGCACATGAGACAGAGACAAAGAGAGAAAGTGAGAAATTGCCCCTCAGGTGGGAAGGCCATAACACAATCCCTTCTCCTCCATTCTTCTCCCTGGATCTTGGGTATACATGCACACACACCTGGTGTGAGTTTTAAACCGTCAGATCCGGGACTCGAACTGCAGTCGACTATGTGGGAGTCCAGCAACATAACCATTACGCCATCTGCTGGTACCCCTTATCCCAATTTCTAACAAGAACCAAAAATGTTTTCTCATCTGTCTATGTGTGCTATTACAAACCACCTGTTGAAACATTCGATGTGCTGAAGCTGGGGAGGGTACAAAAGAAGAGGTGATTCTTGGCTGAGCATTGGAGGGACAGGAGAAGAGTGAAGTGTGAGCATCCCTTGGATGGAAAGAGTAGAACTGCACACAGCACACTGGGACGCACTCCCTCTGCACAACACTGGGACACACTCGAGGGTAATGCTAATAACCTCTACCCCAGAAACCAGCAGATGGCATAATGGTACGTCGCTAAATTCCTATGTAGTTGACCACAGTTCGAGTCCCAAACCCAGCAGCTCAAAACTCATGCTGGACGCATGTGCATGCGTGCCCCAAACCTGAGAGGAGAATGGAGGATAAGGGATTGGAGCGTGCTCATCCTTCCTGAGGGGTGATTTCTCACTTCGAGTATGTTTGTTTCCTCTAATTAAAAACAAAGTATAAAGTCAAGTAGAAATGACTTACGGGTATATTGTGCTTAGGGATGGACTGTGCTTCTATTTCATTTCACTGATCCATGATGCCACTAAATTGCAATTTGGTTTTTTGGTTTTTATTGGGGAGGTTTTTCCTATAGAGCACATGCGCTCACCAGAAAGACAGAGAGAGACAGAGAGATGGAAAGCGAGAAATCACCCCCCGGGGGGATGGCTACGCTGCAATCCCTTCTCCTCCATTCTCCTCTCGGGACTTTGGGCATGTATGCACATGCACCCAGTGTGAATTTAAGCCACCAGGTCCGGGACGCGAACTGCAGTCATCTACATGGAAGTCCAGGGACACAGCCATTACGCAAACAGCTCGTCTCTAAATTGCAATTTTCAAATGTGAAACAGGTGAGAACATAACTATGCATGCTGCCATGACGGTCAGGGGTAGGGGAGTGAAGCATGGGAACCTGTGGGAGGTGAAATGGAGCCATCAGGCATAATCAGTGAATGACTAGAAAACACCATTATCTTATCAGATCGAGGACTAAATGACTTGGAATGGTATTGCCTACACAGAGCATTTCAAAGTCCCATTATGCTTATCAGAAGGAGCACTGTCATAGTTGGTAATGGGCGTTAATGATGGTTTCATCAGCTGGGGACATCCTCCACCTGTAGAGAATTTGAAGAAAAGAGAAAAGTCCGTTGCAGTTCTTTAAGTCTCAAACTCTGATTTTATTCCATTTTTATCTAGTATTTCTAAATCACAGTTCTGAGCTTGATAATCATAGAGATTAAGGAAATTTTGGGACCAGCAGGTGGCGTGGTGGTTAAGGTGCTGGATTCTCCCACATGGTCAACCATGGTTCGAGTCCCGGACCTGGTGACTTGATTTCTCACTTTCTCTCTCTCTCTCTCGTGTTTCTTTCTCTCTTTCTCTCTCTCTCTCTCTCTCTGTGTGTGTGTGTGTGTGTGTGTGTGTCTGGTCAAATTAAAATAAATGAATGAATAAATAACAATTTAAAAAATAATTATTAAAAAAAAAAGAAATGCTTACATTTTGCTCCTTAAGGAACATATAATCTGATGTGGGATGTAGGTCTATGTGCGTCAGAGAGTCAGCAATACAAAATGATGAGGAACCTCAACTCCACCATAGTTTCTCAAACTGAGCTATGAGGGGCACTGTATCAGAATCACCTGGAAGCACGTTCAAATATTCATTCCTGGCCCACCAATTCTGCTGACTAAATCTCTGAAGCCAGGGCCTGGAACCAGTACTTTTGTTGTTGTTTTTAGAGTTTTTTTCATTGGGTGCATGTGCTTGCTAGATGGAGAGAAAGAAGACAGAGAGAGGGAAAATGAGAAGTTACCCCCAAGGAGGAATGGCCATGCCACAGCTCCTTCCCCTACATTCTCCTCCTGAGATTTTGGGCATGTATGCACATGCACCCAGCATGAATTTCACACCATGGAGTCCAGGACTCCAACCCTGGTCAGCCATGTGGGATTCCAGCAACGTAACTACTATGTCATCTGCTGGCCCCGAACTCGGCATGTTTTCACAGATTTGCACAAGAAAGGTAGATGAAGAGAGGAAGCAGTCCCCAACAGGGCCTGGTCACACAGCAACCTTTTTTCTTCCAGTTCTCTATCTCATCAGGATCCTGGGCCATGACTGCTGTGTTTTTCAAGTTGCCTAGCCAGGACTGGAACCCTGTTCTGACATGTGGGATCCAGCCTCCTCTGAACAGTGTTTAACTGTTATCCTACAAGGCCGGCTCCTGAAGCTGGGTTTTTTCTTTTCTTTTTTTTTTTTTTAACTTTTTCTATAGAGCACAAACATGGTCTCACCAAAGAGAGAAAGAAAATAAGAAAGCACCACCCAGGGGACATATCCATACCACAATCCCGTCTCCTCCATTCTGCTCATACTAATGTGGTGTGGATTTTCTTGAGTGATGCAGTTATCCTGTGGGATCCTGTGACCTTAAGTACCATGCCATCAAGTGGCACTGGAACTGGACTTTTTTTTTTAGAAAAAGAATTATTTATTTAATTTTATTCATTATTATTTCAATTTGACCAGAGAGAGAACACAGAGAGAAAGAGGGAAAGTGAGATAGCAAGTCACTGGGTCCAGGATTCAAACCACAGTCATCCAAAACCACAGTTATCCACATGGCAGTCCAGTGTCTCAACCACCATGCCACCTGTGAGCCCCAAACTGGGCGTTTTTTTTGTTTTGTTTTGTTTTGTTTTGTTTTTAACAATTGTGGCAGGTGGTTCTGGCCCATGAAACAGTTTGAGGACCGTTGTTATGCCACCTCAAAGCGAATGGGTACAAACTGCACGTGTGTGTGTTCCCTTTGCTTTCCCTCCACGCACTGCATGGGCTCCATCGATGGATATATGGCGAATAGGGACCAAGTGACGGGGTCTCTCAGGGTGCCATGCCTTTAAAAAGAACTCAGGTAAGAGTTATCTCCAAGCCTCCTTTCATCTCACAGGTGTCAGGGCAGAGTGACTGTTTTTATTCTGAAAGACTTCCCCTAGAGCTTTTCATTTCATAGTCCTGAGCTATACAAAACATCTCCTAAAAGAAACTTTTTTTTGGAGAGGTTTTTGCTATATGGCGTGTGCGCTTGCCAGAAAAACAGAGACAGAGAGAGAGAAAGCGAGAAATCACCCCCCGGGGGGATGACCACGCCGCAATCCCTTCTCCTCCATTCTCTCGGGATCTTGGGCACACACGCACATGCACCCAGCGTGAGTTTAAGTCACTGGGGCCGGGACTCAAACCATGGTTGACTACATGGGAGTCCAGCGACATTGCCATTACGCTAACTGCTGGTCCCTAAAAGGAAATTTTTTAAAGCCACCTTGTTTTCTAAAATCTTTCAGTTGGAGTAAAATCATGTGAGTGATTTCTTCAGAAATACTTTTTAAAGTCAGTGAAAATCTAATAGGAAGGA